GTGGGGGGAGGTAAAGACAGCAAACTTGCAAAGGGGCGGGGGGACAGGAAGGCTAAAGCAATAAGGAGAGAAATTAGAAGAAAATGAGGAGCAAAAAATTGCTCCAGCTAAGGAAAAGATACTACACTAAGGCAAACAAGAGGGAAGGGTGTGTTGAAAGGAAACAGCTGATCAGTGGGGTCAGAAGAGAGATAAGGGACGCTAGTGGAGGCTGCCTGGGAGAGGGGAGGTAAAAGCCCATGGATCCTCAGGATTTTTGCATTGGGTCACCCCAAATTCACCATCAGATCACATGTCTGTGGTCACAGCATGAACCACAAAAATCATACATCCACCGTTTCGTTCAGAATATTTTTTTTCTTTTTTCCTCCTCTAAAAACTAGGTGCATCTTATGGTCAGGTGCGTCTTATGGAGCGAAAAATACGGTATTTTGTTCCATCCAGTAACACAAAATACATGTCCTGGTGGAATGATCAGAAGAGCATGATGCTGAATTCATCCTATTAAAAACAAGTTACATGGATAAAATCACGATACGGAATTATGAAAACATTGATGACAAGATGACAAGGACTATGATGTTGAAAACGCTTTGGAAGTCAGACTGTGGGAAGTCAAAAAATTAAGATTACAATTTGGAAGTCAATTGGACTTTTTTATTTTAGTTTTTTATTTTTATTTGATTTGATTTGATATGTTAATTAGATGTTCTTATTGGAAAATTAATAAAGGCTTAAAAAAACAACAAGAAGTTACATGTTTTGCTTTGTTTTGTTTTAAAGCAGAAACTAAAATCAGCCTTTTTAATACTTACTAAGATCACACGCTAAAATCCCATGCCCAGGTAGGCTTACTGGAACAAAAAGGATTTTAGCAGGCGGCAAATACAGTATGGTGAAGTCACCTGCCCAATATCAATGGCAACGGAGGCTCCAAAGTGTAAGGGCTGCCACAAAAATGGTCTGGTTTCTTGCAAGTGCAGAATGAACATTATATGACAGTTGCAAAATAACTACGGGACAGATTTTAATAGCTAGATGGAACATCAAATAATGGGCTGGGGGGGTTAATGTTTCAAGACAACACTGTTCCTTTTGGCAACTCTTTTTGATCCTCTTTTTCTGATTGCAAGGAAGCCAGAATGAGAAGTTTCTTCCCTCTCCTGTTTCTTTCAATAATTCAAGAACCTTCAGAGCCATTTTAAAGAGCGTTTATGATATTACTTTTCCAGACCTCCGGCTTTGACCTTGTTTTCCGACAATTTGGAGGTTAAACCTGGCCTTCGCTGTGAGTAACAGATGGACTGTCCAACTCTAATGAAGTCTGAAAGACTCTACTAAGCTCACTAGAACACAGCAATTGTCCACACAATTTAGGATGCTATGGCAGCAGAAAATCCATGCTTTGAAGCAGCAAGGGACTCTTGTATAGCCAACCATTTGAAAAGCTGAAGCTTCTATCTAAAACATGTCCAAAGATGAACTGCTTCCCAAGAGTGCAAGATCGAGGAAATAGCTGTTCAAATCCCTGCCCCAGAGTCACCTTTTCCATTAAGCCCTTAGCTTAACCCCTATCTCTCCTCATCCTCAACCACCACAAAGCCTAAGAACTGGTACTGTTACCTCTTTCTCTCCTATTTCCCCCCACTTACTCTTAGATCTCTCTTCACTTTGTTGTCACACCATTCCCAAAATTTAGCTTGTTCATTCATCAGGACAGGGCCTTAAACTATTTAATGTTAAAGGTATGTTTAATATGCACAAAATGTAATGTTGGCATGCATTATGTTTGAAAACATTTTGCAAAGAGAATTTGCATTAGGCACAGGAGGTTTCACTCTGTTAAATGCGGCAGAAAAGATTGGGTGTTTCCATTTCAGTGTATGGAGTGTTAGGGGAGGGGTACTACCTCCGGTGGGGAACATGTCATGCTCCTTCTGGGGTAGTTTGTCCACCTTTTGTCCCCTGCACTCAGCTCTCACCTGTGGTTCCTAGCAGCTTTCAGCATGTGAAAACAGCTTTGGCTGGCAAGCTAAACCAGGTGAGGGTAGCCGATGGGTCTCAAACAAGTGAGTTAGGGACTTCCCCTGTATGCAAAGGCAGGCTCTGGCATATTGAGCAGAAAAGATCAATAGTGGGTTCAACAGTCAAGATGACACTTCTGCACGTACTGTAGAGGGAAGTGAGGGCCTTCCCATCAACCTGGGAAGGTAGACCATCTATGAGAAGGAAAACTGATCCTAAACCTCCACTGCCTTGTTGGATATCTTTGGGAGAGGAAAGAGCTAAGGAGTGAACCCTGTACAAATCTGTAGTGGAGACCCTAAGACAATTGGATGGCACCTTGTACACTTCTTCCTGCCTGCAGTCAAGCTGATGTCAAATGTATTGCTCTGCTTTTCTTTGGACTGCATCAGGGAGGCCAAGAGGGGGATCTTGTTGTCTGGGCAGCCCAGGACCTCCATACACACTGCCCAGGCTTGCATCCCAGAGAGGTCACTTTGATGCTCCTAACACAGCAGTTTGACTTCACCCCCCCTCCAGGTACACTCCATTGTCTCTTGAGATAGATGGATGCCAACAACAACTTTAGGCTAAATGATGACACATCCTGAAACCTGAGCTGCAGATCTCTCACAACAGGACATGAAAACTGGAAACCTTTGTTAGTCTTTGGCGCTAGTAGCAGCTGTAGGGGCTAAGCTCTGAGATGATGAACAAGCAAGATGCTTAGGATGTATTTCTGGGAGCAGAGAGAGGCATGTTTTTGGACTGAATTAAGGACTAAAAAGAAGATGGAACCACATTGTTAAAGAGCAATGTGTTATTTTGTATTTTTGTAATCTTTATTTACAATTATTAAATTCATTTCTAGTCTGCACAAGGTCCGGATCAGGGAGTCCACTTGCAGCAATGCTAACATTTATTACTACATTTATATCCTGACTTTTCTTTAAGGAGTTCAAGATGGCTCCCTTTTGCTCGCCATTTTATACTTGCACAACAACCCAGAGAGATATTGTAGGCTGAGAGAAAGTGATTGGCTCAAGGTCACCCCAGTGAGCCTTGTAGCAGGCTGGACATTTGAACTGTAGGTTTTCAGGTCCTAGTCTGGCACTCTAACCACTACACCACACTGCCTCACAATTATTGTCTTTATAGTTATAAAAAATTATATATATATAAAATTATTCTCTAAGATGTCATGTAGTATTAACAAACAGACAGACCCAACATGACTCAGATTGTGGCACTGGTAGAGGAGGCTTAACACATCCATCCATCTATGTAGCTATCTAGCTATCATCTTATGCATGGTTCTCCTCATCTCCGTTTTATCCTCACAACATCCCTGCAAAGTAGGCTAGGCTGAGAGATGGTGACTGGCCCAAGGTCATCTAGGGAACTTCATTGCTGAGAGGGCATGTGAACCCTGCCTGCCTCCAGGTCCTGGTCCAACACTTTAAACACTACCATTGGCTTTCCCCAGTGCTGAGGTTCTCAACCTCTTCTTCCAGCTGCTATTTAGCCTAGGAGGAAAGCTGCTAGATGTTAAAAGGAGCAGCTTACTTCCAGGGGCAAACAGCTGCTTTTGGGGATGGGGTGATTTCCATTAGGTGTATAATGTATAGTTCAACACTGAGTAGCTTTACCCACACATCTGGGACCATGACTAGACAACACTATTATCACTATTCTGTTCTTCCCAATATTGCTACTCTTTCTGTGTTTGATTATGCTTAGGACGTTACAACAATGAATTGACCTATATTCCTTATGACTATTATTTCTAGTACATATAATGCCTAATTGCACATACAATGCTTTAATGTACTGTAATGCATATATCTATTCCATGGGTAGTTATAATAATACTTAGAGTATCTATCCTATGGATATTATTTCTAGCACATTAGCATTTTAATCAGCCAAATACATTTTTGACTAAGAGGTACATCATTTCCTTAGCAACATGGATATCAATCTAATAGTATAAATCTATCTGTTGTAGTAGGCAATGTATATTATTGATCGTACATTGCTCGTTGATTGTACATTACCACGTGACTATTAATCTAAAATATCTAGATTCTAATTTAAAATATGAAGACAATACTTGACAGACATGACTGGAACATTTCTTAAAGCTAGAGTGAAAGTTTTGCATGCCAAATCCAGTCCCCTGACATCTCCAGGTAGGGGTGGGGAAGACCCCCATGTGAAATATCTGCATGGCTGCCTGTTGGTTTGGACACTGTTGAGCTGATTTTGTATAAGGGAGCTTCCTATGTTCCTGACATGGCCAACCACCCCCTCAAGTATTTTTATTTCTATTTTCTGGAGCTGATCTTACAAATGTCATTGCATACCTCCAGAACATATTGAGACTGAAACATACCATGATCTCAGAACCTTGAAAAATATGGCTTGACCAAGGACATGATGACCTTAACACATCACCATGCTCAAAGTTCTGCACAGCTCTTATTGACACATATTTTGAGAGAGTTTCTGCCTTCATAAAAAGATAGATTTGAGATCTACTCCCATCAAAGCCTACTGTTTTTGCTACATGGATCACATGGCTTCTTGCTTTAAGCTTCCTTGGATATCTTCATAAATTCTGAAGCTTCTTTGAGCCCTCACCAGGTTATAATTCACTCCATCTGGTAGCAGACATAAAGCTGCTCAGTAACTCCTACTCTGAAATTTGTATGTACAACTAACAAGATCATCCAAATACAAGTGGGGATTTTCTGACAGTAAATAATAATAGCCAGTCTTCTCCATCAGACAGGCAGTATCAGCCCAACGTCACAAGGGCTACTCTCTCCTTCAAGCAGACAGAATTACCATAAGTGGAGAAGTCTCTTTTTCTGTAGGCAGACATCATCAGCATGGGGACACAATGGGAATGTCTCTCTCCTTCAGCATCAGCATGAAGACACAATAGCCAGCCTGACTCTTCTTCCGGGAAGCATCATCAGCATGAGGTCACAATGGCCAGTCTCTCTCCTTGAAGCAGACAACCAGGGCTACTACATGTGAGCTACCATCTTTCTCTCTCTCTCTTTCTCATGGAGGCAGACAGAGAAACAGAAGTGTGAGGACATCGTCTCTCCTATTCAGGTGGGCAGTAGCAGGATGTGAGCAAAGTGGCTTCTGTCGTCTCTCTCCTTGAAATGATCAGCGGAGTGTAGGCAGAGAAACAGCAGGCAAGGAGGGGAAAAGAATGGGCAGTTTGGCACTCTAGTTATTAGTACTCTCCCCCCTCCGCCTTACTGTGAGCATTCATGGGGTATTGCCAAGCTGTTGAAGTATTACCATCATATTACTCCATACACATTACAGGGCTGTCCAATCCATCTGCCAATTCCTGCCCCGATTCTTGCTCTTCCCAGAGACTAGGGGTTGCTGTCCCTGCTTGCTTCGGCCACCAACCTCATTGACCCATAGGTCAACTGCCCTTCCTCTACACCTGAACAACCCCCTCTCTTTACACCTCATCTACTCTGGCTATCCCTCGCATCTTGCCCCAAACCCTTCACTTCCCAAGCCCCACCCCATTTTAAAGGAGGCAGGAGGAGCTTCACAGAGTGACTTGTTAAACCACTGTGTGAAGCACCTCCCCTTTTCGTTTAACCTCACTGCAGGTGGGTTCAGTGCACCTTCTCCCTTCCATTAAACAACTCATGTGGTTCAGCTTGCCATTCCTTATGCCACAGTAGATAATAATAATAAATAATAAATTTTTATTTATACCCTGCCCTCCCCAGCCAAGACCAGGCTCAGGGCGGCTAACAACCAATAATAAAAACAAGTTGATTAAAATACAATTTAAAAGATTAAGATACAACATTAAAACATTAGGGTGCAATCTCTTCATAGGAGGAGAAAGGAAAAAGAAAGAGGGGGAGGGAATCAAACTGATTCCAAGTGGAGCCAGGTGGAACAACTCTGTCTTACAGGCCCTGTGGAAAGAAATCAGATCCCGCAGGGCCCTGGTCTCATGAGACAGAGCATTCCACCAGGCCAGAGCCAGTGTTGAGAAGGCCCTGGCTCTGGTTGAGGCTAATCTAACTTCCTTAGGGCCCAGGACCTCTAGGGTGTTGCTATATATGGACCTTAAGGTCCTCTGTGGGGCATACCAGGAGAGGCTTGATGAACTGCAGAGCTTGACCACACCTTACATTTTTTATTATATAGGAAGAAATAATTCACCATAATTTATTCTCTTTTTTAAAAAAATAACAATTCAGCATGCTAAATGTCTAGCTGATTCACTTTTCTTCAAAGATACAATCATACATTCTATACACACCGAGAACCATACAGGAGAAAATGTCCTGTCCCCTGCCCTACCTTATCTCTTTTTACCTCGGGGATGCCTCATTTACTTGACCTCACTCTTGGTTGCTCCTTTAAGGCTTGCAGAAACCCCCAATGATATCCAGGCCGCCTTATAGGTTAACTGGGAGTGCTTTGGAAGGTGTGATGAAGAAATATTTTTAAAAGCTTGTTTCAATAAAAGACAGTTTACAGCTGTTAGCCTGCACATCAGGCTTTGGATGGTGATATAGCTACACGATCTGGAAGAAGTGGTGGGGTAAAGGAGGTGGTGGTGGAATAAAATAAAAGGATGCTTTACTATTCATATGTTAGCAGCAGAGGATGCCTTGTTGCTGTTGTTTTTAATAAGAGAGGACCGCACACTGATATATGCTCCTTTTTATTGTTCTGTATCCCAGTTTAGCTTGGCTTGCTTATTACAGAGTTGTGATAGGAAATCCTTCCTTCCTGGCAAAGTCCTAACAATGAGTTACTGCCAGACAACAGCCTTTCATCAGTTCTTGGAGGGATAGACAACAGCTCACCTCCATCTGACTGCTCTGTTTTCCAGCACGGGGAGACAATTTATGGAGGCTGCGGACAAAGTAAAAGTTCAGAGAGCACTTTCTCCTATGCTGAGAAAGAATGTCTGAGTCATAATATGGGAGTCTTTACATCGATTAAATGGCTCTGAGGGGACCAAGCACTAAGAAACTGGCTTTCTGTTTTAAGGATAGATCATCTTGGAGAGGAATGAGGGTTTTCTGTTCCTGTATTCTCAGCATATAAATACTGGGTTATGGTTATTTAGGGGGAGTCTGTGCACTCTCTCTCTCTCTCTCTCTCTCTCTGTGTGTGTGTGTGTGTGAGAGAGAGAGAGAGGGACGTGCAGAAATGTAGAAATGTGCACATCTCAAGCATGTAGGCACTGTTCATACGCAGAACTTCTGCCAGAATGGGGCGTGTGAGGAAGCCAAGCTGTTAATTCTCAGGCTTATGGTTTTTGGATGTCCTCCTTAGTCTGGATGCCCGCAGTCTTCTGTCACTATAACAAATCACGGGTTTGGACTGTTCCTTCTTCCAACCTGTTGTTAATGTTGTACATGCTTGCCTTCTATATATTACCCCTTCCAATTTCACACTCGTATCAACATTTCTGCTCTCTATGCCATTCTTTGCCACTCTGACCAAATCTTTCTTAGCTGGTAACCTCTTGTTGCTTCCAGTTCTGTGCGTGTTTACTCATCCATTTCTGCTTCACCAGTTTGTCATTGTCACTCACCATGTGAGCAATGTAAGATTCCCATTCACTGTTCTTCTGTTGCTAATGTCAGGCTCCTCTTAATTAGGGATGGACAAAGTTGACCATTTAAATTCTTTAGTTTCTCTTTTTTCTAATCTTAAATTCACTTCTGTTCTCCACACTTCCAAATCAGCTTGGGATTTTTATTTTTTTAAAGGTCCTCCTGAAAATTCATTAGCACTTTAGTGAACATTTCTCCTAATACATTTGTTGTTAAATTATTTAATCATTTAATTATCTTGCCCAAGTCAACCCAAAGTGAATTACACCAACCAAATAAACAAACAAAAAACCCCCACATATAAACATACCTTGAAAAGGCCACATATACACATATGTACAATTTTCCCCAATACAGTGGTGCCCCACAAGACGAATGCCTCGCAAGACGGAAAACTCGCTAGACGAAAGGGTTTTCCGTTTTTTGAGCTGCTTCGCAAGACGAATTTCCCTATGGGCTTGCTTCGCAAGACGAAAATGTCTTGCAAGTTTGTTTCCTTTTTCTTAACACCGTTAATACAGTTGCAACTTGACTCGAGGAGCAACTCAAAGAACGCAGTGTACATAGTAGCCTTTTTTGAGGTTTTTAAAGACTTTGGTGATTTTTGAAGCTTTTCCAAAACTTCTTTTGCAGCCATTTGGTAAGTTAAGCTTTTAAAACTTTTGGGGGGGGGGGTTGGATTTTGGGTTGGGGTGTTTGGAATTCAAGGACTTGGTGTTGGGGAGGGGTTTGCAAGAATCTGGAAGCTTGTGTGTTTTTTTCCTGCATTTGTATGATTTTCTGTGACCATTGGGGCACTCTGCTGTTTTTTTTAAAAAAATCTGGATTTGAATTTCTGTGTGCTGGGTGGCTGGGGGAACAGTTGGGGAGGGGTTTGCAAGAATCTGGAAGCTTGTGTGTTTTTTTCTGCATTTTTATGATTTTCTGTGACCATTGGGGCACTCTGCTGTTTTTTTAAAAAATTTCTGGATTTGAATTTCTGTGTGCTGGGTGGCTGGGGGAACAGTTGGGGAGGGGTTTGCAAGAATCTGGAAGCTTGTGTTTTTTTCTGCATTTTTATGATTTTCTGTGACCATTGGGCCACTCTGCTGTTTTTAAAAAAAATTTCTGGATTTGAATTTCTGTGTGCTGGGTGGCTGGGGGAACAGTTGGGGAGGGGTTTGCAAGAATCTGAAAGCTTGTGTGTTTTTTTCTGCATTTTTATGATTTTCTGTGACCATTGGGGCACTCTGCTGTTTTTAAAAAAAATTCTGGGTTTGAATTTTGAAATGCTCTTTACAGTATGTGTGACTTTAAAGAGCACTTAATAAACTCTTGTTGTACCAAATTTGGCTTTGTTTGGACTTTTTTGACCATAGGAACGCATTAATTGATTTTCAATGCATTCCTATGGGATTTCGTGCTTCGCAAGACGAAAAATTCGCTAGACGAAAAAATTCGCGGAACGAATTAATTTCGTCTTGCGAGGCACCACTGTATGCACATTTTTTTGCAAAGTGATTTCCCCTAATATAATGTGTTTCTGCATGTTGTTTTCACTAATATATGCAGTTCTCTGCATACTTTACCCTAGCATATGCTTGATACCTGGAGAACTGCACTGCAAAATTTGGAGAATCGCAGATTTTGAAGGTTGGCTCCAAGATCGTCTTTCGATTCATATATTGTTTCAGAAGATGTGAATTATGTAAGTTTGCCTGAATCAAATTTCTCCCCATCCCTCCACCCTTTCTCTTGTATGATTGGATCATAAAAAGCATCAAACATCCTTCTGTGGTGTGTCATTTGCGATTTTATCTTGCCAATGAAAACTGAATGTTTCACATAAATACTTCATTTTATAAAGATTTAAACTTCACTGATGCCTTTATTCAGGCTCCCACTCAACACATGCAGCAATATGGGATTAATTGCAGGCATATGTACTCACAGTCTTACTTTATCTTTCCATATGCTGGTAAGAAGAAAAAGTAAAGGTAAAGGACCCCTGAACAGTTAAGTCCAGTCAAAGGACACTACGGGTTTGCGGTACTCATCTTGCTTTTCAGGCTGAGAGAGCCAGCGTTTGTCCACAGACAGTGTTATGTACTGAGCTGAATCCTAGAACAACAGGATCCAGAATGCAGCAGTCTGATTGGTCCGTGGGAGCCACCCAATCCAGCTCCAGGTGGAAGTGAATCAGCAATCTGATTGGCCTGCAGGAGCAGCCAATAAAGCTTCTGGAGGAGGTGAATCCGCAACCTGATTGGCCAACAGGAGCAGCCCAGAATTAGCCAATCACGCGGGGCCCATTGTGTAAATAATGTATATATAGAGAGACATTTTGGGGAAAGTTTCATTCATTGCTACTATGAGCTGAATAAAGAGCATGAAATTCACACTTGACTCCGAGTATATTTCAGACAGCTTTCCGGGTCATGCAGCCAACATGGCTAAACTGCTTCTGGCGCAACGAGACACCATGACAAGTGCCAGAGCACATGGAAATGCCATTTACCTTCCCGTCAATGCTGATGCCCGTGCAAATAATACTAACTTCATGCAAATAAAAGAGATTATTTTTAGCACTTTTGCTCATAATCATCATTTTTGGTGTAGCCTTTAGTGCTGAGTAAATGTTCCCCCACCAATGTAAGCTATAATTAACCTTTAAAAGATGAGCCAGAGTTATGAGGAAAAGGAAATGGTACAAATGTGCTTATTTAGTAACAAATACATATGTTCTCAGATCTTACCAGATTAATTCAGCTGCTAAGAAAATGGAAATCAGATACTTGAATACACAGAGAGATGCAGCGGAATCATTCTCAATACACAGGCAAGTTTATACAGTGGTACCTCGGGTTAAGTATTTAATTCGTTCTGGAGGTCCGTACTTAACCTGAAACTGTTCTTAACCTGAAGCACCACTTTAGCTAATGGGGCCTCCTGCTGCTGCCACTCCGCCGGAGCACGATTTCTGTTCTCATCCTGAAGCAAAGTTCTTAACCTGAAGCACTATTTCTGGGTTAGCGGAGTCTGTAACCATAAGCGTCTGTAACCTGAAGCGTATGTAATCCGAGGTACCACTGTAATTGAGAAAGCAAAGACCATATTTTATGAAGGATATGACAAGGAAAAGCTAAGCTGCTTCAGGATTCCTCCAAAAGGTCTGTGACAAAAAATCAACAGCATCCTCAAAAGATAGTTTACAGTGCAACCCTTTGCATGTCTACTTAGAAGTAAGACCCACTGAGTTCAATGGACTGTACTCCCAGGAAAAGGTGCATATAATTGCAGATGCCACTCAGCATACAGATTGTGATTTTCGCCATGTTTGTAGTATGACTGTTTATGTTTAGATCTTTGACTGTTCCCCACATCACCACCTTGCCATAATTTGTAAATTATAACAATAAAGGATATGTGATATATAATAATAATAATAATAATAATTTATTATTTATACCCCGCCCATCTGGCTGGGCTTCCCCGGCCACTCTGGGCGGCTTCCAAAAGAATATTAAAATACTATAATACATCAAACATTAAAAGCTTCCCGAAACAGGGCTGCCTTCAGATGTCTTCTAAAAGCCTGGTAGTTGTTGTTCTCTTTGACATCTGGTGGGAGGGTGTTCCACAGGGAGGCGCCACTACCGAGAAGGCCCTCTGCCTGGTTCCCTGTAACTTGGCTTCTCGCAGTGAGGGAACCGCCAGAAGGCCCTCAGTGCTGGACCTCAGTGTCCGGGTAGAGCGATGGGGGTGGAGACGGCTCCTTCAGATATACTGGACCAAGGCCGTTTAGGGCTTTAAAGGTCAGCACCAACACTTTGAATTGTGCTCGGAAACGTACTGGGAGCCAATGTAGGTCTTTCAAGACCGGTGTTATGTGGTCTCTGCGGCCGCTCCCAGTCACCAGTCTAGCTGCCGCGTTCTGGATTAGTTGTAGTTTCCGGGTCACCTTCAAAGGTAGCCCCACGTAGAGCGCATTGCAGTAATCCAAGCGGGAGATAACCAGAGCATGCACCACTCTGGCGAGGCAGTCCGCAGGCAGATAGGGTCTCAGCCTGCGTACCAGATGGAGCTGGTAAACAGCTGCCCTGGACACAGATTTGACCTGTGCCTCCATGGACAGCTGTGAGTCCAAAATGACTCCCAGGCTGCGCACCTGGTCCTTCAGGGGCACAGTTACCCCATTCAGGACCAGGGAATCCTCCACACCTGCCCGCCTCCTGTCCCCCAAAAACAGTACTTCTGTCTTGTCAGGATTCAACCTCAATCTGTTAGCCGCCATCCAACCTCCAACCGCCTCCAGGCACTCACACAGGGCCTTCACTGCCTTCACTGGTTCTGATTTGAAAGAGAGGTAGAGCTGGGTATCATCTGCATACTGATGAACACCCAGCCCAAATCCCCTGATGATCTCTCCCAGCGGCTTCATGTAGATGTTGAAAAGCATGGGGGAGAGGACAGAACCTTGAGGTACCCCACAAGTGAGGGCCCAGGGGTCTGAACACTCATTCCCCACCACCACTTTCTGAACACGGCCCAGGAGGAAGGAGCGGAACCACTGTATAACAGTGCCCCCAGCTCCCAGCCCCTCAAGACGGTCCAGAAGGATGTTATGGTCGATGGTATCAAACGCCGCTGAGAGATCCAGCAGAACTAGGAAACAGCTCTCACCTTTGTCCCTAGCCCGCCGGAGATCATCAACCAGTGCGACCAAGGCAGTTTCAGTCCCATGATGAGGCCTGAATCCCGACTGGAAGGGATCCAAATGGTCCGCTTCTTCCAGGCGTGCCTGGAGTTGTTCAGCAACCACTCGCTCAATCACCTTGATTATATTATTTGATTATAGCCAATTATTTTCTATAGTTTAAATCAGCAGGCACCAGTAGAAGTTCTGGGTGAGAAATCCACTTGTTTCACTCTGTGATTTACCTTCTCCTTTTGTTCTCTTTGTTAAAAGCTGATGGAAAATTGCTATAAACAAGCATGTATTAAGCTTATATTTAAATACCAACTTGCAGTGCTTTCCCCATTGGCTTTTCTATTCTCCGATTCTTAATTAAATGGGGGGGGGGACCAAAAACACCTATGCATTAAAATTCAAATTTACTTGAAGCATCACCCACAGTTTTAATTGGCAGGACAGGGGTAGATTTCATCAGTGAGGCAAAGATTTTAGTGGCTCCTGGATCTTCCATGTCCTCTTGTAAGTGGAGGACACAATCATCACCACAAAAATAGCCGGATGTCAGACAGAGCTCAGTCAAGGGTTTTTGTTCCCTTTCAAGGGAAAAATTACAAGCCTCCTAACCCATCCACTGCCCCTTTCCAACATGGCAAAATGAACAAGGTTTCTTTAGGTGAGAGCGTCTTTCGGAATAGAGAATTCACAACAGGCAGACGATGTCTTTGCAAATATATAAATTAAAAAGTGAAAGAAGAAGAGTTTGGATTTGATATTCTGCTTTTTCATTACCCTAAGGAGTCTCAAAGTGGCTAACAATCTCCTTTCCCTTCCTCTCCCACAACAAACGCTCTGTGAGGTGAGTGAGGCTGAGATACTTCAGAGAAGTGTGACTAGCCCAAGGTCACCCAGCAGCTGCATGTGGAAGAGCGGGGACGCGAACCCGGTTCACCAGATTACGAGTCTACCGCTCTTAACCACTACACCATACTGACCAACCCAGGTTCTAAAAGTACCCAAAACAGATTGAGGGCTACAGAGGCAACCTAGGTTTGCTACATACAAAAGCCCTGTGCCTTCTCCTCTCTCCGCCAAGCAGTGTGGCCAGAGTGCACGGGGCCACAGACACACACACAGGGTCTGTGTCCCTTTGGAGAATGGAAGAAGTGGCGGAGACTGTCGTGCTTTAAGAAATAGGGTTTATTCTCCTATTTACACCATCAGTCTGCATGGAGGGAGTCCAGATCTTACAACATGACCCAAAGCATTGCAGACAACCCTTCTGACTCCCCCGCCAAGATGGATCTCATCCTTTCCCCCCAAAAGCACCTTGCCCTCCCCCCAGAGCAGTTACCCTGGCAACCTTCCAGATCTCTGGTCCCACATGGGGCAAGAAGTTCCCTTGTCTTGTTGACGACCCTATTGTAATGCTAACAGGTCTGCTCTTCCCCTCAGCCAGTCAGGCTGGTTTGCATAAGGCAGCCCAAGAACTCCTTGTCTGGCACAGCCCTGCAGCTTATGGTTTAATCCATTCCCCAATTAATCAAAACCCTGGCATCTATTAATTTCTAGGGTTTACCCCAAGTCTATAGCACCACTAAGTATACACTGAGTAGAAAGCTGCAACCCATTATAGCTCCTTAATCATAGTACCTGAATCATAAAGGTAAAAGGTAAAGGTACCCCTGCCCGTACGGGCCAGTCGTGACCGACTCTGGGGTTGCGTGCTCATCTCGCTTAAGAGGCCGGGAGCCAGCGCTGTCCGAAGACACTTCCGGGTCACATGGCCAGCGTGACGAAGCTGCTCTGGCGAGCCAGCGCAGCACACGGAAACGCCGTTTACCTTCCTGCTATAAAGCGGTACCTATTTATCTACTTGCACTTAGGGGTGCTTTCAAACTGCTAGGTGGGCAGGAGCTGGGACCAAACAACGGGAGCTCACCCCGCCGCGGGGATTCGAACCACCGACCATACGATCGGCAAGTCCTAGGCACTGAGGTTTTACCCACAGCGCCACCCGCGTCCCATACCTGAATCATACACCCTTGTAAACATGTTTGTTCCTGAACGTATATCTAGATCTATTTCAATTGGGATTTAGGTCCAGTTTTGGCACAGAAACTGCTTTGTCCATCCTGTATAATGACCTATGTAGGGAGACAGACAGAGGAAATGTGTGCCTCTTAATTCTCCTCGATACCATTGACCATGGTATCTTTCTGGAGCAGCTGTTGGAGTTAGGGGTGAGTGACACTGCTTTGTGGTGGCTGCAGTCCTACTTGGATGGTTATTCCCAGAGGGAATACTAGTTAGTGCTATTCAGCCCTATGGAGCCTTCAATGCACGATTCCTCAGAGGTTGATTTTATCCCTCATGCAGTTTAGCATCCACATGAAACCGCAGAATGGAATCATCTGGAGATTTGGAGTATGTTGTCAGCAATATGCTCTATGTGTTCTCCTTTACATCTGCAGGTGTAGGATTGGATGTGCTGGACCGTTGTCTTGTCTCGGTAATGGACTGGATGAGAGACAATAAACCAAAGTTCATCCAGATAAGACTATGCCACTGTTAGTGGGTGATTCACTAGATCAGATGGATGGGAGGTTGACTGCTCTTGATGGCGTTACGCTCCCTCTGAAGGAGTGGGTATGTAG